TCAAAACCTTTTTGTCTCAAGGATCACATTCCTGTTCATATGACTGTGAAGGAGTCTCCTGTAATATTTAGGATGTGTGATGTGGAGGAGCTGCAGGCTTGTAACAAAGGGGAATTTTCTCTGCCACTAAATGTAACACCCTGTCCAATGGGCATTGTAAAATTGAATGTCAAAGCATAAATATTTCAGTGAGGGCAGTCCAGCTGTCAAGGGGCTCACCTCCTGGTTCTACTTTGTTTAAGGGATCATGTTTCAAGATCCAGTGGCAACAGTCACCCTTGGAATTATTTCAACACCCTGGGTCTGATTTTACTGAATGACTAAAGTAGAGAAAAAACAAAAAAAACCCCAAACCCGTGGAATAATTGTGTATTGTTGACCAAGCTAAAGCCAGATTTAGTAGCAGGAAGTGGCTGCTCAGTCAATGAGGTCCATATTTGCACAGTAAATTTTGCAATGATATCAAAAAATTGAAGAAATTTGATGAGAGGAGAATAATGGGGCAGGGGGGAAGATGAGGGAAGAGAAGGCAATAAAATAAGAGTGGTAAACTCTTCAGTTATAACTTCAACGAGTGTCTGACAGTGAGATTTCAAACTAGAGTAATGCAATCCAGACTGGTGGAGTTTAGTAATGGAAAAGGGTTTGGATTTCTGCTGCTTCCTGAAGCATTTTACACATTAGAAACACTTTAGGACAAAATACACTGAAGGACAAAATTCTCTGTTGGGTTGAAGAGGTTGACAGGAAAATGATATGGTTCATAGATTAAGCTGGCACTGTGACACTGGTAGCAATGTGTGAGCAGAAGTCTGCAGGAATTTACATTTTGGCTGCGAAGGTTAGGTGGTAAAAAATGATCTCAAGAGCCTTCAGTAAACTGCCCTAAGGGGCTGGGGAAATCTCAGATGTGGGGAAGGAGGGCTTCCAAGACGGTATCTCTGAGACTTGTTCTTATCTACTGATGCTCATTGTGACACACAAACAATGAATGCTAGACTTGATGAGTTGTTTTAGAAATTATGGAGTGAAGCAAAATATTCAGAGAGATTTTCAGTGGGTGTAAATTACCCTTAATTGCTTGCAGTGAGGGAGACTATTCCTTTAAGTTGAGGATCTTATTCATGATCTGAATGTTTTCAACAAATCAAGATTGCCCCTTAGAGAGAGTGCATAATAGTGTCTTTTTGACACTAGCAGATTGTTTTGGCAAAGTAGAGTAGTAACATTTTTCAGATTAGCAGTGTGCACCAGAACACTGTGGCTTAAATATAGTTTAATTTTTGTACAGCAGATGGGGGAAAATGTAAGGTTTATGATGTATATTGAATGAAAGGGTTATTATTTTTTTCAAATGTGTATTCTTCAGTCTGAGGTTTTATATATCAGCCAACTATTTAAGAACATAAACATGAGATTTTGGATATTTTGTGAATATTTTTTATGCTTAGTTATTTTGGGTTTTGTGGGGTTTTTTTATTCTTACAGCTGTTCACCTGGACAGGGTGTTACTCTTCAGTTAAGACAAGCTACCTGCACTGCCCAGATCACATAACATACTCTCCAAATTACACACCAGTTCTTTTACTTTGTATTTTTCATATTTGTGATGGCCAGGACAACATGTAAAGCAAATAAGAAAAACAAGCTTAGATGTGAAAGCTATGGCTTAATGCTTTAAATACACTAACAGTGTTATTACAATTTTATTTTTTAAGGCCTAAGTTACTTTTTAGGTTGGCAAAGTGTAAATGAGGAGATATGATTTGGTTTACTCCTGTTTGGGGAGGGCAGTAGCATTTGGAAGATCAGAAACAAGACATAAAAGTACACTTTTATTCTAGTAAAGTTAATGATATCAATTAAAAGTGTAAATATTTCTTGGTTTTATATACTCTTAATCTTAGTTTTGCAGAAAGAGAGAGAGTTTCATAAAAGAGCATCTTTAAACAAAAAATTACAGAGTGGTTGCAGGTCAGTTTTGCCATTACGCTCAAGTCAGTAAACAAAGATGACAGTGAAGACACTGGAATCAGAGCACTGAATACCCTCTGTTGCTGTCAGTGTTAATTTTATCCACTGCTGCAAGTGCAGCCCTGAACACTCAAGCTATACCTTAATGAGGAAAAAAAGCCCTACACTACCTCTTAGTTTTCAGTTTTATGAATGACATTGCTTATGTAGTCTTATGGACTTGATACTTAAGGACATTATAGAACAGGTGATGTTGAAGTGCTAGTTATGCTTGGACAATATTGATTAAAAAAATCTGTATAAAATGTGTGTCTATGTATCTATGTTTCTATGTATCTATCTACCTATGTATACATCTATCTATCTATCTATCTTATTAAGAAAGGTAATGTAATGCAATTTAATAAAGAACTATTCCCAAAACAGAAATGATTTTTAAATACAAGAGACTTCTGCTTTTGGAGGCATCACATATAAAAGACAGGGTGCTGGAAGAACTATAAATAAAAACCCAAAAAAAAAGGGCTCTAAGAGGAATAGGAAGACTTATCCTGAAGAAAAGAAAAAAGGGAAGGAAGAGTGTTTCAGAGCAGAAAGTGCTGCCACACAGCTGAATAAAAATAATTGGAATTTTGGAGTCTGTTTGGTGAAAGTATTTGAGAATGAGTAAACCACAACAATGTTTTCTTTCCAGGAGGTGTGAGTATTCTGCTTTTCATCAGATTGTGCTGTCTAGCATATGGACTGTTTTTCAGTTGGTATTTTGGGTGCGTTTTTCAGTTCTGTGCTGTGGCGTGTGGCTGGGGACCATGGCACTCCATATGGTGGCTTTCATACTTTCCTGCAGGTGTAAAATAAAGGATATAAGAGAACACTGTTCAAGATAAAGGTTAGAGCAATTCTAGGTTTGAAATGTCTGTTCAGAGCAAGAACAAGACATTTCAAACTGCTTAGTGAAAAGACTCTAACATATTGTAAATGTTTTACTGACATTTCTTAAGAAAATCCATTTTGTATTTTTATCTCTGTTAAATAACAATCTGCTGCCTCTTTGAAATAAACTGACAGTTTATCAATATCAGATGTCTTTAACATGATGTAACTCAGACACAGAGAGGGGAAATCAAGGATGCATAAACAGCCTCTACTACAAACAACACTTACCGTAGTTGAACAGAGTAAACATATCACAGGGAAAGCACAGCTACTTCCTTAACACTCATTGGCAGCCCTCTCAGTAATTACTGTCATATGGTCATGATTTACCCAAAGGGCCAGATCAAAACTGAGCTATGAGTAGTTGGGATTAATCATTTCAAACTAGGCTCTTCTAACGAGGATGACACCTGCTTGTTAATCCTGCTGTGAGAAGAATTTTGGTCCATGTTGGAACGATGCCTTTTATAAATGTAGCATCATGTTTTCAAAATTAGGGTCTTTAGGTAAGGCTTGCTTATTCTCTTCATTTTGCCTGGATTTTCCTACATGGAAGCTCTCAAATTGCTGCTGCTTAGCAAACATGCTCAGTGGGTTTGTGGTTTATCCCACCAGCCTCTAAGCAAAGCCTTTCTGGTGCAGGGCAGTACCACAGAAGGGATTACTATAAAAAGGCTTTAAATACAGTCTGTAATCAGAAGAGCTTTTTATTTGTTTCATGTTTCTGCCCTCTAGGTACCTTTGGCAGCATGATGCATAGGCGTTCTGCAGCTGAAAGAGCCTGACATACTGAAAACAGATAGTGGATATCGCATTTCACTCAGTTTTAGTAGTAATGGGTAGGACTATGATAATCACTCCAGAGTGTTTAATGTGCATGTGATTTAATGTCTAGCCTTTTTAGATTAATTAAAAGTATAAAGGATGAAATCTTCTTGCTTCCGTGGCTTCCTAAGTAGCAGCAGTTCACTCCAAATTAATGCCGTTATCTATTTTAATTTCACCCTTATTTCCACTTCATGTTTGGCACCTCGTAAATGCTTCTTGTCTCCCTTATTGCTCACTTGGACAAAGAAAATGTCTGTTTAAGAGACAGCTTTGCTTACCTGGTGATTGTACCAAAAGGCAAAGCTATGTTTGGTTCTGACTGACAGAATTTATACTTTTAAAAACGTTATACTAGGTATACATTTTCACATAAGCAGAAAAGTCTCACAGTCATAAAAGGCAGAAAAATGTCTTGTTTAAGTATTGAAGTTTGTGTTTCTAAAAAAAAAGAATTTTTTTTTATTAGTAAGTCCTATGAGTTATTAAATAATTAAATTTTAAAATAAAAACCAATTTACATGTGTTAGTCCTGAAAAATCATTTGTTATTAAATCAAGGTTTCATTGAAAATACAAAATGACATTATCTTCTGATCTTTCTGGGCATATTTCTGTATAAATATATAAAGTAGTCTAACATGTTTGTTACTGTGCCTGACATTTGCTTTAGGAATGTAGTGAAATTGAGTGGGGAGACTCAGGGCTTTTTACCAGGTCAGGTTCAGATCAGAACAAATCATAGCATCTGGTGTACTGTGACTAAGAATCAATCAAATTGTTCTGATTCATCTTATGCTTGTTCATTTTACTTTTGAGTTATATGGGAGAGAGTTAAACTAGGATATGTCCCTGCCATTAATATAACTCACTGCCTGTAGCTGGTTTGTAATTATATCATAGGAATGGCAAGTAAAGCAGACCATAGTAGACAGAAGAGAAAATATCAAACCAAATGACTGCTAATAACCACACTTACTCTGATTATTTTAAAAAGAAGCAATTTTATCATTTATACTTGAAAAAAAGGTGTATTAAGAGAACATTTAGGAGAAAACTTTATGGCTATAAATACAGTTGTATCAGCAGTAGTAATGTCATCCAAGAAGTTTGCTATAAACTTTGAGAGATTTATGTAAACTCATTGGCGTTGATGAGAAGAAAAGTAATAAATGAACAGTTTTGATGCATGATGCATGCAAAGAATTTGCATTCTCTAAAAACAATTAAAATTCTGACAACATTTCTTGTCTTTTTCCCGGATAGGTACCCATTATATCATTTCTTTGGTGAAGGCTATTCAGCAGTGGTGACATCTTCCAATCAACCACTCTGCAAATCTCTGGACTCCCAGCTGACACCCTGCCGGAGGCTAGAGCTACTGAGACAACTGGAATTGTGCCTGCTTTGGTCAAGGTTTTTTCTTTCACCGAGGAAAAAGAAAAAAAAAAAAAAAAAAAAAGATGAAGTTGGGCAAAGTGGAGTTTTGCCATATTCTTCAGATACTAGCTCTTTTCCTGTGTCTTTCTGGGATGAATCAAGCAGAGCTCACAAGGTCGAGGTCAAAGCCCTATTTTCAATCAGGGAGGACGAGAACCAAACGCAGTTGGGTGTGGAATCAATTTTTTGTGCTGGAAGAATACATGGGTACAGACCCACTCTATGTAGGAAAGGTAGGGGATTTAAATAAACTTTGGAGGGTGCAGATGCTTGCTTTTTGATGTGTTTGTATGATGCAACCTAAAAATTGTAGTTCTGCTAGCCCCAAACAGCAACACATTGCATTCTTGTAAGAATGTAAGGTTCCTGTTGCAATTTTCTTGAAGAGCTCTACATATTAACACTGTTGGTTTAACAGAGTATAGTAATGAAAGTGTTTTGCCACCACTGATAGAAAGAAAATATTTATTACTCATAATAGATTTTAAAACATTGACATAATGATGAGTATTCTTTTTTGAACATAATGATGAGTATTCTTCTTTAAGCGTTAGCAGCTAGTGCCAGAAAAAAAGAAGTTCTGTATTATGTTGTTTGCTCCCTAAAACTCAGCACTACTGAAAGCAAGGGAGAAAGAATCAGACATCTGTGGGTGTGATGAGTGAGGAGGAGGGCATGCTTGCATTACTGCTTTTCTTTGACATTGCCTGGCTGGCAGAGTGGCACCTTGGGGGCCTCGCTGTCCTCTGTGCACAGCACAGCCTTGTGGCTTTACCTCGCCTGCGATGGGCACGGGTCCAGCACAGAGCCAGTCCTTTTACATCAGGGCATCCCAAATGGTTCCTTCTGAGCGCCCGTCGCTGCACATGGAGCACACTGAGCACAGCTGTGAATCCGGGACTTAGCTCATTTACTGCCTTGTGCTAGTGGGTAGTACGCTGCCTTCAGCAATTATGCAGGGGAAAAAAAAAGCCCACAAAACAAAACCCCCTCTTGTGTTTCTCTGTAACATTTATGTGTAATCATCTTACTGAAAGGAAAACCCATTTTCTCCGTAATATCAGAATCAATAAATAGAATTTCTCATTAAAATACAGCAAATGCATAGAAAACAGGGGAGTGACAGCTTTTGGCACAACAGCATGATTACAGAAAAAGAGATGAAGTAATCTGAAATCCACTGCTTCAAATATACCAGTGCAATGAATTTCAGTTTACCTAATTCATCCTACTGAGACAAAACCTTGATGTTTGTGTTAATACAGTTAAGCACTTAGAATTTAATCATGCCAACTGAATAATCAAGTTAAATAGGGAACTGCTTTCATGATTGCAGCTATGGTAGTGTTTAGGTGCTTTTCTGAATTGGGACTGGAACTTTGCATAATTGGACCCTTAAGAAAGGTGTGCTAGAATCAGAAATGTCATCTTGTGTTACATTGGTCTTGAAAGTTTTGGTAAAGTTTTACATTATGTAGCAGTATCCATTTTGATGCCACACAGCTGCTGGTTGTCTCTGCAGGTTTGTCTTTCAGGCAAATTTGTCCCCGGGTTGGAGTTTCTCTTGTGGCTCAGGAAATGGCCTATTTGGCATTCTTTTCCACTGATAAAGAAAGAAGTGTGGCTTGCAAATTTGAATTTCTCTCCTGGAAAAGAAGCATCTTGAAATACTCAAGTGAAGACTAGTTTTGATCTGTAGTAATTCTCATATTCAGTCGATTGCTATATTATGGCCAAAAATGCTGTGGTAGTGCTATAGTACATGATATTTGCATGCACGTGGTTATTTTTAGCTTCACAGTCTGCTCTTTCCCGTCCTTTGCAAGAGTCCTAGCATTCACAAGCAGATATCTTCCAAAACGCAACCTTTTTTTTTTTTTTTGGAAACATTCTGTGCCCAGCCTGCGTTTGTATCATCAGTATGAATTGTTGGCTCAGGAATTTGTACCAGCAATCCATTTTGTAGGAAAAGCAGATAAAAATTTTCACTTACATAAGGAAGCCCATCTTCCTAGAAACACAGTCCTTGCTGAGCATCTTGTAAGATAAGATGTGCCCAGTTCCTAACCTTCTCACTGTAGAGGCTTTTGACTGTGTGGCTGCTGAGGTGCAATCATGACCGAAGCTGCATTCCCACACAGGGAAGCAAAAAGGTGAAGAAGTGAATTTCTTTCTCTGTCTTAACATATTATGTGTAGCACCACTCTGAAGTGAGCAGCAATCACCTTCCTACCCCTCTTCTCCTCTTGAAAACATGGTTGCTCTTGTTTCAAATCCTTTGCAGTCAGGTAAGGACAGGGAAGACTGAGATTTGGATAGAAGGATAAAGTTTTTTTTCTTTTTTTTTTTTTTTTCCGCTTCTTGGTGAGGAAGCTGCAGCAAGCAAAAATCTGACATAACACACTTTTCTCATCAAATGAAGTGGAAGCAGAAACCAGACTCTGCAGAGTGCTCTGCTTCTGGGGAGGCCAGTCCTGCACTGTCTTACATTCAGGAGGCTTTGCAGGGTGCCAATCTAACTGCATATCCAAGAAGGAGGGACCTTCTTCCAGCTTTTAACGGCTGTGAGATAAAAAGGCTTCAGAAACACTCAAGGAAATGGATCTGTAATAGGGGAATACTGTCTCCCTTCCACTATTCAATTCTACAAAGCCCTAGGCAGTTCTAGTTGGAAGGCAGCATTTGGGGGACGTTAGGGTTACATGGCAAATCATTCAAGAGTTGTGAAATACCAATGTTAATTCCATGTTCAGCACTAGCTCTGTCCTCCTGGGTGTCTGCATGCTGACACTTTAATTACGTGGTCATGCAGAGTAAAACACTATTCATCGTAAATAATATAGTAGGATTCCTATTCACCTCAGTAAAACAAGTCCTTCCCTTAATTTTTCAGTGCTTTCGTATTTGTTTGACAAGGCTTCACATTTATACCAGAGGTGTATATATATATATATATATATATATATATATATATATATATATATACCTGCAGCCTTTCTGCTGGAGAACCTTTTTTGTTTTCCTAAATGCATATGTATTTTTTTTATTAAGGCAGCAGGGCCTGTTTCTCATGTGACTCTGGAGAAACCTCTGGAGGAGTTCCATTAATTTTCCTCTAATAGGAGTCAGAGGTGACAGAAGTTTGGTGCCTTTTTTATCCTCTTCTTTTAAAATTTAGGTCTTTCCTCTCTATGATATGAATTTTAATCATCTTGGATGTAATTCTAAGCACCTCTTGGGAGGTGCTTAACATGTAATCAGATTGTGGACTGAACCATATACGAGTCTTTTTGGTCAGCACAGCATATGTTATGTTCACTTGAAGGGCTGAAGCATTTAACTGTTTAACGCATTAAAATGTTTGGATAGGCGCTGTTCTCTTCCAGACATGCCATGTAGGAGGTGAGGCAGTTAACTGTAATGCTTATTGAGCTAGAAGCATAGCTGGCTTCTGTTTTCTGGAAAATGTTTACTATTGCTTGGTAATATGTTTTTGTGAAATGCCTTACTCCATATTTTCCTCATAAATTACATTAATGGAATCTATTTGGGCCAAAAGAAAAAAAAAAATAATATAGAGCAGTTTTAAATTATTTGAAACATAAACACCTAAAATTAGGAAAAAAGTGTATGCTATTATGTTGAATACTTGAAAAGCTGTATACAATCTTGTAATTGAAGTTTCCATGGGTACACAGTGGCAAAAAGGGGTGCAGTAAAAGTGGAACTTGAACATTTTGTTGATACTTTTTTGGTTTTGTTACATAACTATCAGACATTCAGGGTTTGTGTGTTTTTTGGTGTGGTGGGCTGGGGTTTTTTTAATTACTATTTCTTTTCATGTCTTCTGCTGAAAGAGTGTCAGTCTCATGAAAGGGATTATAATGACACAAAATCTCTGCCAATAATAATTTCACTTTTATTATTGAAAAGCTAAAAAAAAAAAGACAAATAAACAAAAGAAGCCTCAAATAAACTTGAAGAAGTGAAAGAAGTCTTTGAACTCCATATGAGATGCTGATTGATAGATGGCTTCACTGTTTTCTTTTGGATCCAAACCAGGTCTCCTTTTCCAATGGCTCTAAATTTAGGTATAGTTACAGGGCAGTTTCAAGCTTTTTGCTGAGTTGAACTCTTCTTTTCCCTTGAGATTTCTCTAACATATGAAGGACTGAAAATAAAAGACAGAGACTTTTAACTGAGCACAAACCCAAGAAATTAGTATGTAACTTTGAGAGGCTCACTGGTAATTCTCAAAAATAACAAATTGAACTAGTAAGATGCCCTGAGTGTCGGTTTTTATTTATACTGTAGAAGAAAGTAAAACTTAAGTCCTAACTTGCATTTTCTAGACTGTAAAATAAAGAAAAAAAGGTTAAATGAGTGAGCTAAGAGCATGGAGTTTCCTAGATCTCACAGTCATTGCCTTCCAACACAATTTTACCTGCCTCTTCTGACTGTTTTAAGGTCAATAAACCTGTTGGATTCAATTTTCAAACATGGAAAAAAGTGCATAAAACCTAATGTTTGCATTATTATTTCCTGGAGTAGAACAGAAGGAGGGACCATATGAAAAAAAAATGAATTGAACTTAATCTTTTCCTATAAAATTAGGTCATTTAAGAGAATTTTCAGATTTTGCAAGTTTTAAGAGAGCTAACAGGCAGGATGGGGAAAGGGTTTTTAAAGCAGCCATATAACAAGTTTATGTTATTATTAGCATTGAGAGTGGGTAGTTTTTTTCCAGTCTCCTCATATTTGAGGGAAGGAGGTTGGATAGGGGAGGATACTGGGGTTTTGGGTTAATGTTTTGTGTTTTCAAAGGTGTTGGTGAATATATCAATAAGGTGACAGAATTACTCACATACTATATTTATCTGTGGTGTGACCTTGTCTCAGGCCATACCGATGCAGTCAGCAGCATTGCCCTTTTCATAGAATCATAGCCTGACAATTTCAGCTGTGGCTGATGAATTTTGACTGAGTTGGATAATAAGCGTCTTTTCTAAAATACTTTTAAGGCAGTGAGTACTGTGGAAGTGCTGGACACTCAGTCAAATTGAGACTGAACTGGCATTTTGGGAACTGTAGAGGACATAGGGCGATATTACAAAGGCTAAATAAGAAAAAGGACTGGGCTGCCTCACTTGCACATAGTGAAGAAGGAGGTTAGTCAGGGACAATTCCCTGGAGGGATTTGACCCTCCTGCTTCTTCCAGAGGCACCCACAGGG